CGACGGCACGGCAGTGATCGTGCCCGTCTCCCCCGCCTCCCCGCACACAGGTGAGTGCGCCAGTCATTTCTGACCTCAGGTGGCCTCGAACCCGTGACCCCTGGACCTTACAGCTCAGCCTGTGCTTGTGCTCCTGCCTACATTTGCTGTGCCGCACCTTGAAGCCTGCCGCCTCCACATCTCGTCCCTGCTGCTGCTCCCGAGCTTTAGAGCTCCCAAGCGGCACAGATTGCGTTGAAATTCAGGAAGGCCTGTTCTTCGGGAAGCCCGGTAGCTGTCCGGTGCCTTTAGTCACCCGGCGCTTCTCTCTCTCCGCCCCCCCGCCTGTGGGGACAGGTGTGCCAGTTCTGCCCCAGGAGAAGCTGGAGCCCCGGACCCCCCCAGCTGTGGACCTCAGCCTTTCCCCGCCCCCTGGGCCTGCCCCTTCTCCCCCCGAGCTTCCCAACGGGCACGGGACACCGCCGCTTTTCCCCGGGGTGAGTATCGGGCAAGGACAGCTCCCGCACGGACTGATTCGCTCACACGCCTCCCTGCGCGCTAACGTGGGCCTTAGGTCTCTCGTCACAGCCGCCCAGGAGGCGGGATCTTGCTGCTATAAAGTAACCCAGGCGACCGCACCCACAGCAACTGTGGGAAACTGGTGCCAGGAGTAGCGTAGGAACGGAGTGTGTTGTGGTTTCTGCCCGAGTTTAAAAACCTGAACCGCGTCCTGAGTTTGTGTGACGGCCTGCGGGCCTGTGTGGGGTAAGATCTCCAGCCCTCTTGCTCGTGCGCCCTGCCGCTGATCTGCAGTGCTGCAGTGTCACTTCCATCTTTTTGCCTTTTAAATGCCAGAGCGTTTCAGTAAATGTTGCCCAGGTTAGTCTCCAGTTAGCTTCCAGCCGGGATACTTCTGTCACTTTAAGCGAGGGTGTCTGGAATGAAAAAGAAGCTAACCCTCTGGCCAGCTGGCTGTGGATTGTGACTGGGGATTCAGTTGTCATCTGCTGCTGTGATGTTTTGAACGGAGCACAAAAGGGAAAGGAGCTGAGAATATTGTCTTGGAAACGAATGGTAGATCATTTCAAATGTGTCTCCCAATTGATACCTGCCACGTGCTTTTCGTGATGGCGAGCCCTGATCAGGGAACACGTACTGGCATGCTTTCTGCCTTCGCCTTTCCCCAGCCACTGGGTTCGTTTCCACTGTTTCAGACCCCCTGGGTAGCTTAGAGTCTGAACTGAATCAATCAGCTTTTCTGGCTTGGACACGACTATTGCAACAGCTGTTCAGGCTGTTTTAAATGCAAATTCCATCCATCCAGTTTCTAATTGCTTTATCCAGTACGTGGTTTTAGGGGAGCTGAAGCCTATCCCAGCAAGCAACAGGTGCAAGGCGGAATACACCCTGGACGGGACACCAGTCCATCACAGGACAGACACAGACAGAGACATGCACAACCTCCCATCATGGCCAGGTTTCCCAGAAGCCAATTAACCCTCCAGCATGTGTTTGGGCTGTGGGAAGAAATCAGGACACCCAGAGGAAACTCACACAAACACGGGGAGAACATACAGCATCCCAGGACTGTGACGCAGCAGTGCTGACCACTGTACTCCCTTTCCTCCCAAAAGCAAACTCATAGTTTAATATTGATATTTCTCCTATCACTGTCATAATATTAAGCGCAGCAGTACGTGACGGCAGCAGATGGCCAGCAAAGTATTTAAAGAATTGCTGTTGGTCAGATCCTTCAAGGTTTTGGGTTAAGTGTGAGGTCTGTGCAGGAGGGCTCAGCTCAGAGGAGTTCCTCCGACATCTGTTCGCGCAGTGATTCAGAGCCTGCCCGTAATCCTGGGAACTTCAGGGAGACGCTACTTCTCCTCTGCGGCGGTGACCGTGGGGAACAGGACTGTGCTGGGAGACGGCACTCTCCAGTGTTCAAATCCGCCGCGTTATTCAGGCTGCGCGTTACTGCCTGGCTTGTGCATCGTTAGGACCGAAGTCCAAAAGATCACTCGGTGCCTTTTCATATTTTCCCCGTAGCGGTAATTTAAAATGGCTTCACGCTTTCTTGAGTGTGGCGACTGGTTAAAAGCTCCGAATGTCAGGTGTCCCCAGCCTTGTTTTTTTTCGAGAAAGCTGTGCGGAAGGAGAGCTGGCCGAGAGCCCCGAACGGCTCCATTTCCTAACCGATGTGGACGCGAATCCGGCCGGTTGGGAAGACGGATTGGATATCCAGATGTGTCAGCTAATCCCCTTCTTCCCAGAGCAGCTGATTTCTGCACAGACCTCTTTTGTGTTTGCCCCGAACAGCCCCACTCTGTCATGGGCATTTTTGTAGACTAAATCCGAGTCACTGTTAGGTGTAGCAGTGAGGGCCTCATGCAGGATAATTTAATTCCGGCCTGTGTTTATTCAGGAGCCTGCTTCTTTCCAGATGTACTGTTTCCCCCTAGCTGTCCTGGATTGAACTTTACAGTGCGGTGGTGGGGGGAGAATTAAATATGTATCTCCAGTGATCTAATTACCGTATATCTGGACTCTTTTAAATTGCAGCACAGTATATGAAAATAGTCTACTAAGAACAGTCACCCCACATTGAAAAGGCTCTGCTGGAAAAGTGCTCTCACGTAGGAAAAGTCTTTCTGTGGACACCTGGTCGATCTTCAGATGAAATCAGTAAAGGGTAACCCAGTTTCCAAGCTTCTCTGCAGTTGGGATATTCCTAAATCTTTTCTAAATCTTGTGTAGAAAGAAACAAAAGAAGTCCATTCTTCTCACGTAACTGGGGAGAGTAAAGGCCGTGATGTTCGGTTTTCCTGTGCAAGAATGGTTTTGCGTACATTGCATTCCTCCTTTATTAGTTTAACACTTTCAGGGGGGTCTGAAGCTGGTGGTTTGCAATAAGCGTGACGGCGAATTAGCTGCAAATCCTGCCTGTTCCTGAACCCTTCGAGCACATGAAAAAAAAAAAGCCCTGAGAAAGCAAACATGGTGCAGAAGAAGTTTAAATACATCTGTTCTGATGCAGCCTGTGTGGCGATTTACCAGGTAACCTTGAACATCTGAATTGCGGCCCGATTCCGGTCTGCTTTGCACTGGTTAGGGTGCTGTATGACAAGGCCTTGCAGCTCCTGTGAATCATCGCCCATTGCCCTGGCCCGACCCGAGAGGTCCAGTGGTAAAGAGCTGTACCTGCAGGCACACACACACCTGCGCTCAGTCCATGAGCAAACAGTCGTCCAGCAGGGCAGGCCGCATCGTCTGGATGCCACTCCCTCTCGTATTCTTCTCCTCACAGCCTGCGATTTGCAGCCCCACTGTTACCCGGAATTCTTGTTTTTGCATTCCAGCTTGGATTTTCTCTCACAGTCCCGGAGAGCTCTTGTCAAGCACGGGAGACTAGTGCACTTTCTCCCGTATCGCACGTCCTCTCCAGAGGCTGGAAGCCAACCTTGAGCGTCCCCGATTGCCTTAGGCGGGGCCGGCTGTTTCACGGGTGGATGAATCATGATTATTGTTCTCCGTCACATCCCGTTCCGGAGATCTCTTCTCGGGATTGTCCAAAGACAGCACCTGCTCTCAGTCGGGATTCATTCGGCATTCATGTGCTTCCCGGCTCCTGTCCCATGGAGAGCGCTCTTGCTTTTCCTCATCGGGATTTACGCTTCTACTCCAGCTCCTTTCCTTCACGTAACTGATTTTTCCGGTGAGGAGTCGGGGCTCCTCCCAGCCTTCCAGGATCCCAGCTTTTCTTCTCTTCTCCTCTCGGGGGAGAGAGATCTTCCAGTGCCCCTCCATCTGTACTGACAGTAGGGGAGAGGAAAAAGAAGCTGCATCTCTCTGTTTCTCCCCTGTCATCCCGCTGTACTCTGTGTGTCTTCTCCCTTCTCCCGGCCTTCCTGACGGAGCTAAGCGGCAATATTTTTTGTAGCCTTGTGAATTATTATATTGTTAAGACCTGAATCTCAATACAATGGTAACACCTGGGATGTTTGCTGAGATGTAAGTTCAGTGATTAAAGCAATCAGGAAGTTTGCCTTGGTTTATCTTAAGTTAAGTTCTGGGTAAATGATTTAAGTGTGCCACATTAAGAAGGGTGCAGAAGGATATCAGAAAAGAGGCAGGTACAGGATAGGATAGGGCAGAGTGGCTAACAGAGGGTAAAGGAACAGAAAGAGGAAGATATCGAAGGCCAGAGTTCCTTATTCCCACCATCATGAGAGACCAGAGTTAAGTATTTGAACCCTGTTAAGAGAGCTTGCTATTCTATTGCTGTAAGGGACATTGATTTCCTGTGTAAAGAATCCTGTCGTAAGAAATGGCTTTTCCTGGTTAGTGGTGTGAATAGGGAGATACATTCATGTGGTGGCATCTGGGTTTACAGAGAAAAAGATTTAACTGCGCGTTGTATTCTATTTAGTTTAGAAGGCATCGTATCTCTTATTTTGGCCTTTGTAGGCATTGTTTAAAAGTCGAATACTCAGTAGAGGTCTGGGGTTTTTTGGGTTGTTAGGATGTGAAGCCTCTTGGATGCCTAGTAGCGTAACGTGCGTGTTGTATGTTTGTCGTGTGTAGTTTCATGTGTGTATCGTCACTGTTAACAAATATTTGTTTAACCAAGTGTGTCTGGGTTATTACTCTTTTCACCAAAGATGTGCCAGGGAGCAAAGAATTCATGTGCCTCTATTTATACCAACTGCTTGGCAACATTATTTACAAGTTGCATGTTGCTTGCCTTTTATTTCCTACAGTATATTGATGATTAATATTCATCATATTATTGCATTTGGTATTGTTTAAATGGTGATGAATCAATGTAAGTGCCTGGATCCTTCTCCTGAACTGTTCCAGCTCACTACAATCAGCCTATTTGACAGCCATGATCTTGGCTCTCCCTGTATTACCAGCGTGTATCCAGTTTCATTCGCATTGCCAGGTTTCCACCCTGTCCTGGATTATGTCTGAGTCCTCCTGTATTGCTAGTTCCCATGTGAAAGTATTTGCATCACCTCCTCTTTTTCCTCATATCGTTTTCAACAAACCTGATGTTTAGCCACACAGTCTAGATCACTTGAAATCGATCCGGAAGAGCTGTAGTCCAAGCACTGACCCATGTGGTACCCCTCTAATGACACGTCAGCACTCCAAGCTGAGATAACTCCCTTTGTTTTCTTATTTTTTACCAATTCTTTGTCCAAGTGCACACATTACCTTGGATTCCTGCAGCTTGTGGTACTTTAGTCAAAAGCTGCAATTCCGACAGTCCCGGCATATTATGTCATTTGTGCTAGACTTGTAGTCAGACCAATAAGGCACAATCATTCTCCTTTAAATCCTTGCTTTATCCTTAAATTTACTATTTATTTAGATGCTGTTTTAATTTGGTTCATACAGTTTTTTAGTTGGAAGATAGGCCATAGTTAGATGTGAGGAAGGGAGGGCTGATGAGAGATGGTCTATAACAGTGACACAGTGAGTGACCTCCCCCCAGTGTGTGCCACTCAATCAATTCCATTCTTCAGTTCAATTTAAGATGCTTTATTGGCATGACCAATGAGTAAAATCAGTGTTGCCAAAGCAAGACAAATACAATTAACATAAAACAAAAATCTACAGACATTTACAATAAAGACACAATCATATGATAATTACATATAAGCATATGGAACATTATTGGGAGACGGGCTCACTGCTCCTCAGGCTGGAACAGGAGGTCACATACTGGGCTGTATCGATCCCTCTCTCCCCCCTCCCCCAGGACTGTCCGCAGATCCGTTACCTGGACGGCGGAGCCTCTTCCCAGGCCTTCCAGTTCTTCCTGCCGATCGGCTCGGGGGGCGGGCTCCACCTGCCATCTTCCATGTTCATCGGCCCGCCGAAGGAAAAGCGCGTCTCCCCCGACCTCTCGGCGGACGAGCAGCTCGCCTGCCGCTGGGTCAAGGTAGGGAGAGAGAGATCTGTTTTCTGTCGGGGAGCCCACTCGAACTCTCCTGCCGGGTCCCCCTGTAGCTCATCGAGAGCAATGACCGTCAAAACAAGAGGGACCGTGACCCCTGAAGACATCTGTGACATCTGTGTCACCTCAGGTCCCTGTTGAACCCAGAACTCCAAGTGAGACCTGTAAGGCTTCGAAACTTGTCAATGAACATCAGGAAGATGATCAATATTGCAAGTACCTGTCTTAACGTAACCTGTAATATGCTTAATTGTGGTTAATAGGTGATAGTGTGAGAGTAACATTAAATTTACTAGTTTCATGACTTAAAGTTGCTGTTCATTTTCATTTAATTCACCTTAGTTCCGCCTCCCATGAAATAAACCAAGGTTGGGAATCAGTGGGATTGAGATGTAGTGTCCCAGCAGGACCAGGGAACCGCTGTACTATCCTGGATTAGAACTGGCTAGCAGCTCCTTCTCTTTTAATCTTTAAACAACATGAATGTTTTCAGTGATTTCAATTCCTTTGCAGCAGCCCTTAGTGTCGGGTCAGCCACTTGGCTGTGTCATTGTTCAGGTCTCAGTGACACAGCAGGGTGTAAATGACACAAATGAAAAGCAGTACACCCCAATAGGAAAAACGTCATCAAAGAAGAGACATGGAAGAGACACATGACCTGGAACTGTCTAAAATCGAATAGTTTCAGTGCTCACATAATTTATTTTTGTGGGTGTTGTTGGTGGCACATTTATTCTGCCCCAACACCCATTCTGCTATCCCTTTAGCCTCAACTCCCTGGAACTGCCTATCTGCTTGAGACAGGTATCCAAGGCCTAAAATATGAAAGGGCTGAGTGACTACTCACTGATCATCTGTTTGCAGTTCTGCATGACTCACTTGGCCTCTGCCCGTCTCCTCTCTCCCTCCACCTGTCCCCCTGGCAGTGCCATCTGCTCTTTGACTCGCTGCAGGACCTGGTTGACCATGTCAACGACTTCCACGTCAAGCCTGAAAAGGATTCTGGGTACTGCTGCCACTGGGAGGGCTGTGCCCGGAGAGGGCGGGGCTTCAATGCCAGGTAGGTCTGGCATTTTCTATCTTGACAAAATTGAAGAGCAGAATGCCACAGACAAACAGAAAAACACAATCTAGCTCTGTCATCCTTTCAATGTTATTATTGGGTACAGCTGATCACCTGTGGTTTGGTGCTTGTAGGTTCAATTCCTACAGCCTGTGTTCTAGAGCTCCCAGTTTCAACTGAGTATGAAATATTTATTTTTTTATATTTAATATTGTGTTTCATAGAAGCCCAATATGCCCAATAACCCCAATAACCCAATAACCCTCACGAAACAGTTAAAGCCAAGAATTATGCCCTACCAGGATATTAACCACAAAGATACTGTTACAGCTTTAGGTGACCAAGGTGTCTCTTGGATTTTAGATAAAGTTTGTGACACTTAACAGAGTAAACACTTCTAGCTTCAAAGGAGACAGGATGTTTGAGGTCTGGGTGGTCCCTTAAGCAGAAACAGTTGTAAAAGTTTACCTTAGTATACCTAGGTAAGCTGTAGGTTAATGATTGTCAAGGAGCAGTACAGACACGCAATATAAGATCACACACTGCTCAAAGGAGCAGAGAAGAAAAGAACAAGGGAGGAGAGAAGAGTTTCAAAGAGTTGGGACTTGAAGCTTGCACCAGGCAGGAGCCTCTTCTTCATGATCGTCTGAACCAAACCTGACTGGAGCTGAGTATTAGAACCGTGCAATAGATAGTGTGCTGTTCTGTGTATTTAGGAAACTTGGATTTCCTGGGTAAAAGATGCGTCAGTTAGAAACTGACTTTCCTGCCTAGGGTGCATTTTTATGGATAGGAATATAGACTCCCATTTATTTTGTGGCATTTGGGGTGCAGAGAGAGAGACTGCAGGTTTCATTGTATTTAATTATCTCTTGTGTGGCCTCTGTCAGCATTGAGAGTTTAATGCTTAGTAACAGTCTGGCGTTTTCTGCGTGACCAGAATGTTAGGTCTCCAAAACATCTTGTTTATAAATACTATACATAGAGTAACTTATGTGTTGTATGTTTTGTTGTGTGTAGTGTAGTTTGTGTCTTGTGATCATTACTATTTGTTTCACCAAGTGTGTCTGGATTATTACTCCTCTCACCAAAGCTGTCAGAGAACAAGGAATTCACATGCCTCTAGTTATACTAGCCTCTCGGGTATATTGCTAGAAATCACTTACAAGTTGGGGGTTATGCATAATTATTTCACTTATTGACTAAACCACTCTAAACTTATCCTGATTTTCACAGTTACGGAACCCCCCATTTGTAACAGTACGTTATTGGATAGCTGTGCTGACGTAAGATGGTTCAGTTTCACAGAATAGCAGGCTGTGCTATAAGTATAAAGACCGCTGAGGATCACTGTCTGATCCCTGGGTGTGCAGACTCAGAGAAGTGGCGTGCATGTTGGTGGGAGATTCAGCGATGGGTGACCTGGCTCTCCGCTGTCTTGTTTCCAGGTACAAGATGCTGATCCACATCCGCACCCACACGAATGAGAAGCCACACCGCTGCCCCACCTGCAACAAGAGCTTCTCGCGGCTGGAGAACCTCAAGATACACAACCGCTCGCACACGGGTCAGTGCACACAGCGCCTGCTGTCCTCAGTCACGCTTCGCGCTTCATGATGCATTCCAGCAGGTCTCAGCCCGTGTGGCACTAGCAGTATGTAATCGCCTTGTCTGAAGGTGCTCAAGGTGGGACAGCGCAGCGGACAGACACAGTACAGGCACAGGGGGGCTGTCCAGGACACGAGGTCAAAGCAAGACAGCATCCAAGCCGAGATAAACGCTGTAGAAAGTAATCAGCACAGGGGTGTTCCGAGAGACGTAGCAGAGGTCAGGAATGCAAAGCAAGTACAAACACGGGAATGCGGGAACAAGAGACGCTTCTTGTCAAAATTCTATAAACAGGGCCCAGAGCATTGTCAGAGCAGATCTTAAACAGCCTGAGCCACCTGAGACAGGAGTGGTCGAATACTGCCTACAGGTGGTACAGATCTTTTGTCTGAGCGAGTTTCCTTGGCAACCAGGACTGACAGACAGGGGAGCAGAGGCGTGGCCAGCTGCCGTGGCAACACTAACTCGCTGCGCGGCTCTCCAGCCTGGATGGGCCTGACAGTGACGGACTTAAGCCACCAGTTTTGTTTTGGGGGGGGCAGATTGTAGGATGCAGGCGATTATTCCAAACTGAAATTGTTTCTGAAAGCCGGCGGTATGCGGCTCTCCTCTGTGTCTGCAGGAGAAAAACCCTACATCTGCCCCTATGAAGGCTGCAACAAGCGCTACTCCAACTCCAGCGACCGCTTCAAGCACACGCGCACGCACTACGTGGACAAGCCCTACTACTGCAAGATGGTGGGCTGCCTGAAGCGCTACACGGACCCCAGCTCGCTGCGCAAGCACATCAAGGCGCACGGGCACTTTGTGGCTCACGAGCAGCAGGGGGCGCTGCTGAAGGGGGCGCGGGCGGTCCCGGGGGGCAAGGGGGCGGGGCTGCCCTACGTGAGCGGGGCGCACATCATCATCCCCGGCCCGGCCACAGCGGCCGCCATCCTGGGGAGCCACGCGCTTCAGGGACTCGGCGCCTCCCTGCCCCTGCCGCTCAGCCCCCGGCCCCTGGACCTCAGCACGCTGGGGTGCCCGGCTGTCGGCTCCTCTCCGCTGGGCGCCCCCGTCCTCTCCCTCAACGGTACGCCCCTGGGCCTGGCCAAGAGCCCGCTGGTCTCCCCCGGCTTCCCGGCGGCCGGCCTGGGCCTGCCACTGGTCTCCGTGCTGACCTCCGAGAAGAGCCCCGGCAAGCCGCACTCCAGGCACCCCAGGGCCCGGCCCAAGCCCGACCGGGAGGAGGGGCTGGCGGGTCTACCCGGGGCGGTGCTCAACCTCTCCGCGGGGGCTGCGGCCCTGGCCAAGCCCGACGCGCTGGCCCCGGGCTGGGTGGTCATCCCCCCGGGGTCTGTGGTGCTGAAGCCGGCCGTCGTGAACTGAACCACATTCCCGAGGGAGGGAGGGAGGAGGAGGAGAAGGGGGTCGGGTGGGGTACTGGGGCGGTGCAGGGCAGAGGGGGCCCCCGTTTCGGGCTCGGATTGAAAACGCGTTTTTTTCCCGAAAGGAGGCGAGCGGCTGGGGTGGGCCCCGACGGGGTGTCAGTCATCCATCCCACTGCCTGTCCGCCCTTGTCTGAAGCTCTCGACGGGGTCTGGAGTTGCAGGAACAAATTTCGTAGAACTCCGGATTCGAATAATTTGCTATCCAGCAGAACACTCCTTTCACCCAAACGTACCAGAAAACCTCAAGAAGGAAAGAAAATATTTTCACCTCCAAAAATCTTTGGTCTCCTTTCAGAAATACCCCTTTCCTTCGAAGCGGAGGCCCTTCTCAGTTCAGCACTTCCTCACCAGACCCATTCCCTCTGTTTCCGTATTGTGTAGTTCTAAGAACCCTCTCATGTATTTATGTACTTTAACGACAGCCTTGAGCTCGATGCCCTTGACCAGATTCTTAATGATGTTAACGTGCTGCTTGGATTTACGTCCTCTGCTGCTGTCTGATAGTGTTCCAAACCAAAGCCGCGTAGTTTTATTTTAGGTCTTCAAAAAGATGCTTCAGGTTTCTTTGATAAGCCATTTGTACTAAATACTGTGAACTGTTCTGGAAGTCCTTCAATTTTAAAAACGAATTTCTTGATCTGTATTGCTGGAATTCTATGGGAAAACGCATCATCAGAAGCACTTTTTGCTCCACCCTGGCAGAGTGGGGACAGAAGAAGGTGCTAACTGAATGACAAAACTGCCTGCGCAGCCCTTGTTCCAGGCAGCAGATTTGCACCTGTGAGCGCCCTCTGCACACAGAGCCCCATAATTCTGGTCGGGTAGCACAGAGCAGCATTATGGGAATTGCCCAAAACAGCCGTGAAATCAGCCATGCTGGTTTGCAACTTTGGATTTGAACTTAGTAGTTTTTGACCTGCTTGTGCAGAGCTCTTTGGAGTCCGTGGAGCTTACTGTTGCAGATGTGTCCCTTAGCAGGCCTGTCCCATGGGTCTGCACGCACAATAACAAGTGAGGTCCAGCAGGCTTTATTGTAAGATCTTTTATGACACCCAGAAACAGCAACAAGTCTGTACTAAAGGAAAACCCCAGCTGACTACTTGCATTATGCAGAGCCTTTATTAACAAACTTAAAGCTTAATTGCACCCAATTAAGGGTAAAACCCTTTACCATTTAATTGAAATTTGCACAATTAATCCCCTGCTGTGGATATTTAAAAAGATTCGAGGCTGTGTAGTGGTCTCTGGTGGTAGGTCAGTTGCAGTTGCAGCCCTTTCGCTGGCCTTGAAGAGCACACTTGAAGAGCAGCTGTCTCGCCCTGTTCCTGTCTGTTATAACCTAGAGCTCTTGCCCTTCACCCTCACAAGTCAATGCAAGGTCAAACTAGATTCCTCTTATTCTGACTGTTGTTATATATTTGCAGCATCATTGCAGTCTTTTTTTAGTTATGCCATATAATTGCACCACAAGACTGAGTGCTTCTTAAAATGCTTCTGAATTATGCAGTGCAGCCTATCATCTATATAATGGTCTATAAAGACCTTTACTTAGACTTGACACAAAGGCTAATAATACTGTCTTAATATAAAGTAAAAAATAGATACAGTAACAGCTTTTGCCCTTATTCCTATACTTCTAGTGTTACTTTCATAATGACTGGTTACAAGGCATTTGACCCTGAACTCGATTCAGTTCAATTCAAGATGCTTTATTGGCATGACCGATGGGAACTCTCTTACCGTGATGTAATCGGAATCCATGTTTCAAGCAATTTGTCCTGAATTACTTTTCAAAAAAATAATTTAAAATGAAATCAAGTACATGAAAAACAATATTTCTCATTCAGCACCATTAATGCAGTTAGTGGGGCTAAAAGCTGAGGGGACTTGTGAGGTCAAAGGTTAATTGCGTTATGAGACAGCAGTCAGGCTTGTGACTGGAAGGTTGTGGGTTCGAACAGCCAATGGAGTGCTGCTGCTGTACCCTTGAGCAAGGCACTTCACTTGGAAGGCTGCAGTTCATCACCAAGCCGGGCTAAATATTAGCCAAATACATTAATAATAGGAACTAATAAACCTTTTTCATTTCCCAATAAATTTGAGCGTTTAGGGGTCCCAAAAACCTTTATTCACTTAAAATTGTCAAGTGTTTTAGGAAGTGAAAGTGACTAAAATGTCCAGTTCAGCAAATTGTCAGTATCGTGGTGAAGTGACAAGAGTGCTCTTCTGATTCGGGATCCCTCCAGTCTTAAATGTGTTCAAGCACAGGGGCTGTTGTGCTAAAGAAATGTGTGTTAGTGAGGTTTTACCAATAATGGTGTAAATGCAAAGTCGTGGTTTTACAGATAATGCGGTTTCTCCACCCTGGCCTCTAGGGTTTTGTGGTTTTCACCCTAGCTCGATATTATTATTATTAACTATATAAGCACCTAGAACAAATGTTCATTTAAACCATTTCCATCACATTTGAGTGCTCAACTTGGTGGGAACAGAAGGCAAGATGCTGTCTGCTGGATTGCGCCACTGAGCCTCAGTCATAAAGGGGGAATGCTGGTCAGACTGACCAGGCGCTGTTGGGAAACAGGTAGGATTTGGCTAAGGGTATCGAGCTGAAAAGGTTAAAACAGACAAGTGTGGACAAGACCATGCAATGGCATTCCTGATTTGCAGATCTGTACAGGGCTGGATCGGAGCCCCCTGGTGGTCGCTTCTAGTAGGACGTGCAAAGAAATGTTACTTTTCAAAACCAGTGTGTCTCGGTGTTTTCAGACTGTTGTTACAGAAACCATACAACTTGAAACCTCTAAAAGCTCGGAAAAGATTGCATCGACAAGATGATGTGCGTCAGCCACTGCGGTCCAGTTCTAAAGGATATAAAAATCATCCCTGTTCAAAGTCTTTTCGGAAACAGGGTGAATGATGTTAAATTGTGTAAAGGTGGGCCAGCAGATAGCTTAGGAGCTGCCGCACCTTGAACATTAAGATTTGATTACGGCAACGCATGAGCAACACTCTTCATTGAAAACGATCCCAGAAAGTGCAAGAGGTGCTTTTCCATCAGGGCTCGCAGTGCTGAACGGACCCTGTCAGTGGATCGTTTTTCAGGGCTGGGTGTCATGAACAAGCATCCTGTCCGCCTGAAGGGACCTATAAAAAAAAATAGATCACTGGCAATTAACGCGCACGTCTTGGGATACTGGGCTGAGTTCGGCCTCAGTAGTTATTGTCCACCAGGCTCTCCATCCAGCCCTTTCTTTCCTCTAGGCCTCTGGTGGCCGATCTTGAGCCAGCAGGGCCAGGGTCCTGCAGGATCCCCGAGGATCTTGGTATGCGCTGTTCTAGGGCTAGAGACCTAGAAGAGATGGGGAAATCTCGGCTGATCCTCCAGGACCCAGGCTGGCCATCGCTTTTTTTTTTGTAATCCAACCTCCCTCCCCTCCAACTCGCCCCATCTCCCTTCCTCCTCTCCAGTAATGACCAGGGAGATCACCGTCTCCCACCGGCCAGCCCCCCAGGGCGTTCGGCACCTCTGAACTGCTAGAACTTAAGGTGCTTGTTGAGGAATCTGTTCAGCATCTTCCTGTGGGTGGCGGCCTGCAGAGGCTCTGAGATGGGGTTAGAGAGGGTGAGAGAGATCAACACAGGGAGCATTCCCTAAGAACACACAGAGACCTGCCTCTTTGCTTCTTGTCATGATAGTTCTCTTATTTGTTATTTTGTTCCTAGACGAGACATTTCTTCATGTTGAAGTTGCTTTTGCTTGTTCCACTATCACTGCTTAACTTGGCTTCTCTGGTAGAGACGGTGCTTCCGGCTCCAGTGTTTGGCAGGCTGCTGCAGGGGTTACAGTGGCAAGTCACGTGAATGGATGTGTTCAGGGCCGTGAGATCACACTTGTCCGATACCTGTCTTGTAAATTTGTAGAATGAATTGCCAGCCCCATGTGGAAGATGGTCAACTGACTGGCCCATTTGCATGGACCCCACCCAGAAACTGTCCATCTCTTGTGATGCAGTGTTCAGTTACGTCTGGGTTACACAGCAGTCATCCAAGACTGGACTTGGAGTGTCCTGCCTAAGGGTTTCCTGTATGGATGAGGCTTTAGTTTGTCGGTGATGCTGAGCAGTTCAAGCCTCAAAAGTGTTTAAGGAGACATGAAGAAGGATGGTTTTGGAAATAAGTACCTGCTGCTGCACAGATCCCAGGACAGCCCGATACTGTTGAGCAGGATGTTGAACAGCAGAGCAGTCCTTTGCTGTAGTATAACAGGGCCATTGGCTTATACTGTCTTGATTCTGGAAGGACAAGTGTATCAGCCAAATATCTCAGACAGGTACATAAAAACTGTCTAGATTTTCTACAGTCTTTTCCTGTTCTGTAGGCTCCAGTACAGCAGTGCCCATCTGGATGAATGTTAATTTAAAACCTGTTAGCTGCTAGCTTGTAGCTGCAGTGATCGGAAGGAGATCCTGCCCACACGCTGTTTTAAGTGTGAAGTGTGCAATGATCTCGATGCCAGTGGCGGAATCGATCACAGCCCGCGTAGATGAGTAAATTGAGCCTTGGATCATCTCTAGATATCCAAACTGTGCATTTGGCTTCGGTCCTGACAGACAGGGTTTGAGTCATACAGCCTGCCTCAACTGCACAGCTGAGGGTGATGATATCCTTCCCTGTGGCTCAGGAGAAGATGCCATGTATGTAAAATGTCTGTAAAAATAAATAATGAATGGGAGAGCATTGAAAGCATTGTCCACAGGTGGAGCAGCAGACCAGGTGAAGCTCTGAAAGCTTGCCCTTTCAGGAACTGCTGGCAACAGAACAACTTTATTTAATCTGGAGAAACAGCGGCAGGGACATTTATCTGGCACTTAAACACAAGCAGGGTCAGTTGGCTCAGTACAAATAAAGTCACCCTTCCTGTGTGATTTTAGGTGAAAAGACCTGAATATTCTCAGATGGGGCTTTTTGGGACTGTTCTGCAGCAGTCAAAAGAAATTCAAAGAATAATTCGAAACACTTCCAGCAAAACAGTTCTGTTCGAGCGCCACAGTGACGGTGGGCAGGCTGTCAGGTGGAGGTCAAAAAGAAACGCGTTCCTTTTTACTGTAACAAAGATCCTATATACTAGGATAAGCTGTCCAGGATTACAGTTTACTACAACACAGCTCAGAAATAGGCAACAAACAAAACTCCCCGAAACGAACTGAAGGATTTTAATCATAATAGGAGGATAAATTCTCCACATGGACAAAAGTTTGTACTGCAGACTCTATTTGCTAGTAATAATAAGGTGTTTTATCTGATTTAAGGTGCAGCCATGGATGTATATAAGACTTTATCACCGTAAGCAGAACCATGACCGCTGCTGTATATCCTAATGAGCAGCAGAACTGGGAGGTGGCATGGACTTAGCGGTTAAACTTATGGATGGTGACCCCCCCCCTCCCCCATTTCTGCCCCTGCCCACCCACCTGTATCTTCCAGTAGGACTGAGGACCGCCCAGGGCTAGCTTCTCCTGCCGCTTGGTGCAGGTGGGTGCTCCAGTCAAACAGGCGATCAAGTCCTTTTAAAGTCAGGAGGGTGAAAGGTGACACCTGTAACCCACTCCTGGCCTAGTGAAGCAAAGAGGCTATCCCAGGCTGCCGAGGAGAAGACCTCGGCCTGCCCCGCTAGACAGAGAGGGCGCTTGGCAACCTGTCTCTGTCTACGCGCCCACTAGGAGGCGCTGTCGGGGGGAGGGGGGGTCTCTACTGGAGAAAGCCAAGACTGACACAGACCCTCCAGGGGTCCACACAACTTTAAAATGTTAATAAGCTGTTTTGACGTATTAACCCTTTGAGCACTTTAAAGGCGTGCGGGTCACATCCCGCCCTGGAATAATTCAATTCCCCACCACCACCCCCCAAGCCCTAGATTGCAGAAGAAGAGAGACAGAGGTGCCTCTCAACTTTAACTTGCAAACGAGGAATCGTTTGATCCCTGTTTCATCAGATAAAGGCCTAAGGTACTGTAGCTTCATTGTACTGGCTGATGTGAAGAGACACTTAAAAGATGTGGCACAAATCAGAATTCTCAGAAACCTGCACTGCAGTATTCAAAAACCTTGCAAGGCAGAAACCTCCAACCATTATCTCCACTGTCACATTTACATCTAAGCTGGCAACTTGATTTCTCTGGTGAACTTTCTAACTGTGTTTAATTGTAATTTTAAGAACCGCTAAAATGGTTCTCTATGGTTCACCCTGGTATTTTCTTCCACACAGAGTAAAACAGCACAGCCAAGGTCTCACTTTAAGTGACTGCCAAGCAGCTGTCTTATCTCAGCAAAGCCTTTGATCCAAAGCGAAGAGATGGGGTGGGATCGCATGTTTTCTTTCTCCGAACACAACTTGTCTCACTGGACGAGTTTATACTGCTCTATAATGCATTTGTAGCGATCATTAAAAATGTAGTACAATATTTAAGAAGGGACGCCATAATTGAATGTGCTGTAGAGGTGCACAAAGGGTTAATAATAATAGACTAAGGCCTGAGAAGGCCAGTATCAGAGGTTTTTTTGTTTTTGCACATTGAGATATTTTAATATCAGTATTTTTAATGGTTCTAAGTGCCTTCTATTATAGTTGAAATGTAGAGGATATACAGTATATTAAATATAAATATATATTTTTTCTCCGGCTCCAATATTGAAGCCGCACGTACAGAGTTGTAAAAGTCTTAAATTGGTACAAGTTAGCAGTGTGCTCCTGTTTTAGAGGAAGTTTATTATGTCGACGAGAAAACAAAACAATTTAATAAAGTTGCATTTGATAACTTTACTGTGTCATCTTCTGGGTTTTTTTGTTTTGTGAATTCAGGGGCGAGAGAACCCCGATAAAAAGTTTGACCCTGAAGACCTGTGTGTGTAGGTGACTTGCGATCGTGCCAGTGTCCGTAGCGTTCCCGGTAATGACTTTAATTACTAAGCTCCTGGGTGGCGCAGTGGCAGGGCAGGTAGTGTTATAGCTTTGCAGTACTTCGGTCCCAGGCTTCGTTCCGGCCTGCTGCCGCTTCTGCGAGGAGTTTGCATGTTCTCCCTCGGACTGCATGGACTTTGACCCATCACCCCAGGTCCTCATTTCCCACTTGCTGCCTTGGTTAACTGGCATATCTGAATTGCTCCCTGTACGTGAGCGAGTGTTTCCTTCAATGACCTGGCATCAAGGCTGTAGTCCTGTCTTTTAGATAGATAGATAATACTTTATTAATCCCGTGGGGAAATTGATGAAATTTCAAAATTGATGATTTTGTCCAGTGCTGGTCCAGATTAGCCTCACTGCAGCCCTGAAGAATAAATCCCGGTCCAGAAAATAGCCAACACCACCACACAGTCATTCGGAGGACCATGGGACACGTTCCAGGTTAAATCACGTCACAGCACACTGTTGCTAAAACGCGCCAGTGAGTATGAGCTCTGTGAGGCTGCCCCCCTTCAAACGGCACAAACCATTGCGTTTGTGCAGCTGGAAGTGTTGCTTTTGTTTCCGAGCTATAACGCCTTACGTCTTCGGGGGGCGTGACGTCACTCTGCCCCCTACAACAGCGCAGGAGACCCGAACCGGTCGGGTTCGTTGGGGATGCGTCTGGACCGGTTTGTGCCGTTGAAATCAGTTTCCAAGCTGATTTTGTGCCTTCTTTTTCTGGTGATCACATAACCAGGTAGGTTGACTTTGACCGCCAGCTTCCCGTCCGGAAAGTCCGAGCGCCGTATTACTGGTGCGGAGGTACTGGAAGGATATCTGCAATTTCGTTTCGCTTTTTGGGGGCGGGGGTTGAGTTTGCATTTAATACCACTATTTTCTGCGAGTTTATGCGAACAGGAAAATTAGGTTTGTCTCCAATATCACACCGTAATCACCAGAGTTGCGGGTTTAGCCTTAAAAATCGAGTATTGTCAAAGAACTGTATGTTCTGAGAAAAACGCTTTAACTAGCACGTCTTTAAAAAAAAACCCGTCATCGTCCCGTTATCCATGTCTTTGTAATGAACTTTTTAATTGAACATTTACGATTTGTTTTCGGTTCAACTCAAACTACTTTATTCAGATCATGAATAGTAAAAGGTTAGAAATAAGCGTCACCCTCGCGCCATCTACGGCGTTTACTCCTGTGTTTGGAGTTCAGATCGAGCAGTAAGAATTATACTGTTAGTGTTTGACAGTCAGTCTCACCTGTGATTAC